TGTTTCTACAAATATAAATACTGTGCAGTCATCCGAAGAAGAAATAATCAATAAAGGGCTTTGAACATTTTTACAGTAATGGATATGGAAAAATAGCAGCAACACCAGAGATGTGCAAAATGGCAGCAGCATGTTATTTAAGTGACCAAGACAGAAACTGTGCTAAAATTTCAAGCAAATGTTCCTTTTGGTCAGCAGTGGTTTTGAAAAAAGTAGAGGAAGGAGTGGAGATTGCCACTGATGCCATTTTTGCCCAGTCTTTTCTTCAATGATGAATAACAAACAGGTTTTACTTTTATCATATTTAATCTGAGGCAATTTCCTTATGTGCTGTTCTGAGATCTTTTAATACCTCCTAGATGAGCCGATAAACATCTAGGCATGTCGTTTCTGTAAATGTTTATCACTATTACACTTGATTTGCTAAAGGCAGAAAGCTTTAAAAATGGCTTCGTAGCCTGGTCAAGCCATTGACTTAGTTTCTCATCTCTGTGTTAATCTCTTTAAATCAAGGCATGATATGCTCCTTTTTTGATATTTTTTTTTTTTTTGCCTACTTCTTGTTGTCACTCTTTCAGAGATTTTGATATTCTAGACGAATTTGTCAGTCATTCAGGTTAACGTTTTGTCTGTAATGTATGTTAATACAAAATGTTACAAAACAGAAACAAAGATTTGGGATCTTTTCTAAATCAAATGCATTTATTTCTAGCAAGATTGATGACTCCTTTCTTTTTGAGAGGAAGGTATATTGCATTGAGATTTAACAATAAACTTTTACTATGTAACTTTTTCTATTTCTACTAGAGAAACTGAAGTCTTTACATGCTTGATAACTTCAATAATCTTTGGACAAATGTTTCTTCCAATTTAAGTGTTGTATAGAAATCTTAAAAGTATCTATTTTAATTAATCAACTGCTGATTATTAATGGCAAAAAAGTTTCCCATTTCCTTTCCCTATTTGGTGTTTTTTTTGTTCATGTAAATTATTTTCTGTTTTACTGACAGTAGTTAGTGTATTTATAGCTGTAAAAGGATCATGAATACTAGTTTAAAGTAGTGGCCCTATTTCACAAACCTGCAAATTTTAAATAATATAAAATTAATTTAATAAAAAATATGTTTTTTATATAAATTACATTTCATAGAAATATGAATAATTCTGCATTTAAATTGTCCATGGTGGCATGCCTGAGATTTGGGAATAATGTCAATCTTAACTAAAATAAAGACTGTTACTAAGATGAAAAGTGACACATTTGCAATAAAGTGTTTATTCCTGTTGGAGCCTTACAGAATCTGAAATTAGAGTTTTAAAAAATAAAGAGCTGAGTGTGTGACTTGTCTAATCAGAATTCCACTTTTAAGGAACATTTTCTGGATTTTGTACTGGGAACTTAGACAATTTAACTTTGGAGAAAATCTAGAATGATATTTTTGTCTGCATTTCTGACACCAGATGAAAACAAAACTGCTGCCTGGTTTTACATTTAGATCTAAAGTTCATTCCACATTGATAAAAAAAATAGCCAACATAACAGATATTGACTTTTATGAGCCAGAGTTTTTTTTATATATAATGTTTTGTATAAATACAAATTATGGTTGCATTTAATCTAATTGTGAGGATGTAGCAGTGGTTAAATTAAACTAAACGTCACACTATTTAGAAAATCCAACTAAAAATATGTTTTGTGTTTTGTTTTGGATACATTCATAGTATTGGCACTGACCAAAAGAGAAAATAATTGAATACAGATGTTTTTATTTCATTTTGCCTATGTGATAAGCAAACATATTTGTGTTAAAGCTACTCTGCTAGCAGCAGCTGAGAAAAAAAATCTAATTTAATACCATGCTGTTGTTTACACCTAGGTGGTAATACTTATAAGTTTACTTGTATAATTGTACAATTATATAATTTGAGAGAAATATCAGCTGTGCTGCTGCCATCAGAACCATTGTTTTATAGATGTTGGAGATTGGCCTGTTTTTTCCAGTGTCCTGTTTCTTTGACTGTGACTGGCTGGATGTGCTCTCTTCATCCTCTGACATGGGAGCTGGCCCAGAGCTCGTCTGCCTGGCTGTGTGTTTCCTGGACCGGTATCTCTGCTTCTGTCTCCTTGAACCCCCGTCGGCCTCGGAAGATGGCCGCTCACACTGAGCCTGGTTCTGCTGGAGGTTTCTTCCTGTTAAAAGGGAGTTTTTCCTCTCCACTGTCGCTATAAGCATGTTTAGTGTGGGGAATTGCATCTGGGTCAATGAGTTGATGCAATCAACTTGCTTTCCTTAAAAACCTTACTTTGAATCAATTTGACTTGTATGATCTGGTGAACTGTAAAATGCCTTAAGATGAGATGTGTTGTGAATGGGCACTATATAAATAAATCTGAATTGAATTGAATATTTTTCATATTTTACATCAAAAAATAAAACCTGTAGTCAAGGTTTTAATCATCATCAAGTTGACATTTGATCAAAACCATAAGCAGTGGTGCTTCAGTCTATTTTATTGATGTTTACAAAGATCTGACAATTAAAAAAACTATTTTTTTTTTATAACCAGTCCATGTATAAGTGTATTGTTTATATTTTAAATGGAGGTCAGTGCTGATCCCTATCAGCATGCAAATGATACAAAAATCCTTTATTTTTTATTTTTGCTTACTCCTAAAACTGTTAAATGTCAATCAATTTTATTTTATTTTAATCAAAATTGTAATTTTTTCTTGTTTTTTAGGCTAGGTATTTACAAATAACGCAATTTATCAATCACTAGATGTATTTCTTATAGAAAGTATGTGCATGCTAATCACTGTTAGCTTGCATTTCCTGCATGAATATTTTAATTAAATTAGCTGTTTAACTTCGACAAATTTCTTTTTGACGGTTTATTTGCATGCTAAAGATTTTTTAAAAATCAGCTTTTATCGGGTTTATCTGTTACAAGTAGGTACATGCTAACTAATGTTAGCATGCATGCTAACTATTGTTAGCATATACAAATCTGTCACTAAAGCTGCGAGTTATTTAATTTTAAACGTTCTTATTGGCTAAACTATTTGCGTTATGATTATATGAAATAACGCAAGAAGGGGAAATCACTGGATGTATTACTTTTTATTTGTTGCGATTTCATTAAAAGGTGCAAGCTAATCCATAATGTGTTGTGTACATTAAGACTTCTTATGCACAGCAGAAAGTCAAAGATTGAGCTAATGTAAATGTATGAGTAATGAGTTAATTTTAAAATGGCAGAGAAAAAGAATATCACATCACAAAAAGATATTCGATTATTTAAGAATAACCCCAGGGTTTTAGCATGCCCGCAGACAGATATCACTCCGCCCTGTCTAAACGTAGTTCCGACCAATGACAACTGCAACAGAACACGGGACGCGGAGGAATACGGTAGGGCTTTCTCAACACATACCAACCTCCAACGTGTTTTTTGTTGCTAACTGCTAACAGCAGAAATGCTGTGTTGGTTAGAGAATAATTCTTCTTTTTTTTAAAACCAGACGTGAAACGATTTTAATTTTAATGGAATAATCATTTAGCTATCATATTAAAAGCGAAGAGAAGGTAAGTTCACGGGAAGTATGTTTGTCAAACTTATATCACATAGAGTTTATGAAATGAAACAGTTAGCTGCTCGGCTATTGTTAGCTTTGTTAGCTCAACCCTGAACTGGCTCAGAAAGGAGGGGGTTGCAGCTGGGGGAAGATCGTGCATGCAGGGAGAGCCCTTCGTCTTCTGGAAAACACGCCGGTATTATTAGGCTGAAAGTAAGTGTGAAGTTATTAACTTCAGCACTTAGCATGCTACATGGCTGTTTGGTTGGGGTGTCTTCTTTGAACAGTTTGTCAATGGTGTATTTGTCGGTTAGCTTATGTTGCTAATTGGAAAGCTAAGTAGATGATTTGTATAAATAGTCAATATCTCTGTAACAAAAGTTTTAAACAGCGTTTGGCAAAAACGATGGATAGGATTTAGTTTGCAAAATTTAAGAATGATAAAAAGTGAACAATTCGAATTGATAAGCAACAGTATCTGAAGTAGTGCTGTAATCTGGAGCTAACACCCTTTATATCTCAAATGACAGGTGTGATTTCTCTTTTTTGTGGTATAGGTTGTGGTTGCATGTTGTCAAAATAACCAAATCTGGC